CGCTGACGTGCAGGTCGCACGCTGCAGCTAGGAGCCAGCAAACAGGGAATAGAAGGCTTACAATCAGGACGCTGGAACCACGACCACTTCGGGTTCAGGAGGGGCTGTGTTTGTTGGCCGTTTCTTAGATGCAGGTCGGGGAACCTATTCGAAGCCGAGGCTCGCCGTAGCCAGAAAAACCCCGTCGTTCCTTATTCAGTGCTCCTTGTGACAATGAGCACGGTGATTACAGCGCAAGATTTGACCGCACGCTGGCGTCTGATGGTCGCGCGCTGCGGCCTGGTGCAGGAGCAGACTGCGCGCTGCTGAGGTGGCACGCTTGCAGTAGCGGAGACACGGACGAGGATGCGTGGATTTGAGGAGCCGTGCGGCGCGGAGGATTCGGAGCAGAGGAGGAGGAGGAGGAGGAGGAGGAGGAGGAGGAGGAGGAGGAGGAGGGGAGGGAGCACGAGGAGGAGGAGGGGGAGATGAGCAGGAGGAGGAGGAGGAGGAGGAGGAGGAGGAGGAGGAGGAGGAGGTGGCCTTTTGCAGGCCGCCCTCGTCCGCTCCTATCCAGGGCCAGGTCGCAGCCGCTGTACTGTTCGCCTGCCTGGAGCACTCGACCCCTTGCGGTGCCGCCTGGCCCTTGGGATGCCTGTGCTTCGCCGGGGCCGTTTTGTTGCACCCGTCGAGCGCGGCCGTGCTGCACGAGGCGTGCCGCGCTCTCGGACGCTGCGGGTTTGAGCGGGACCGGCAGCGTGTCGAAGACCAGAGGAGGAGGAGGAGGAGGAGGAGGAGGAGGAGGAGGAGGAGGAGGAGTCGTTACCATACGCTCCCTGCCGCCGTTCATGTACATATATAGCCTTGCCTGAACACATAGTTGGCCGAAGCTATTTCGGATCGGATTAGGGACCCGCGCGAGCCCCCCGCGCGCGCGTTGCCTGCGCAACACAACTTTGCTTTCCACATTGCTTAACGGACATTCGAACCTTTATTTTCCGCCGTGTCCTTGGATCCGCTACGATGGACCCCAACATTACGACCAGTACTACCTGATGATTTGGGCCCTGGTGGGCTTAAGTTGGGTAAAGATGGGTTACCAGCCGGAAGTCCCAATCTCGCAAGATGAAGAGAATGATGAAGGTGATCTCGGCCCTACATAGTTAGGAAAGCATACGGTTCAGGTCGACGGACCGAAGCAGTCGACCTCTCAACGCATCCAAGAACCAGGGAAGATGGTATCGGGAAACTCCGTCGCACCCGCACGTCAGCTTTCCCTCACCGACCGGGACGACAAAGCCATTCTGCAGCTGGTGTCGAAGAATCCTTGCGCTTTCATTCGTGGCCCTTCTCCTACCTGCGACGTGATGCGAGATGACGGCGCCCCCAATCAACCGTGGACGGCAAGATACGCCTCTTCCCGATGATGATTTTGACGAGGAACAGGGATGGTACGGAGGAAAAAGTCGCCCGCGCAACTCATTGTCCGACAATGTCGCGCAAGCCTACGTCGTGAACTCCAGTTCGTCCGACAAGGAGGATGATATCAAGACTCCGAACGACAAGAAGGAGACGGTATCTATATCGAGCTCCTCGGGGGTTCCAGAGACATCGACCCCTGAAGGCACGCCGAAGATACGTACCACGGACCATGTCCGACGTAAGGGAACAAGCATGAGCCCCGTGGATGACGATACCCGCAAGGAAGACCCGGACATCTTCTCGTGCTGCTCCTTACCCGTCTGCGTCTGCCGGCGCAGCCGCGTCAGGCCATGATACTAAATCGGTTGATCTGGGCAGAGTTCGTTCCTGGGCCGACGAACCTAGGATTGAGAGATATACACCACAAACACCGGCTGTTGAGCCGGGTGGCGGATCTTCCCGCGATGGCCATGGCGCCCGGCCGCTCGTGGACGGTATCTGGGGCGCGACCGTCGACTACGAAGACAAAAGTGAAACTGTAGACAGTCAAGGATACTATGTATGTTATTTTGACATCAGACAGTTACGGGCCACGGTAAAACGTGGCAATGGTTTAAGTTTGGTGACTGCAATGATAAGTTTTGCCGATCTTCTGGATCATCGAGCAATTTGCGAATGCCCGCGCCTCCGCCCGCGCCGAAGGCGAGCTCGTCGGAAAAGGGCCGGGGCCAGAATGATCAATATGAGTGGAGCCCATCAAACGACTGGAGCACAAGAAGAGAATGGCAATGGTAGATCTCTTGGGAGTCAAGAGTCAAGACGCCATTGGAGAAGATGGAGATGAAGATGACAGGATTCGGCGCGACACAATCGGAGCCGAATCGTACTACTTAGTGGAGCGGATGCACCAGGTGTGCACGGGCATTGAGACCTGAGCTGGGAATAATAACTCATGTGGGGAACTTCGGGTTTCTCCGGTCTTTTGCCCCCAGGCACCCACCGTCGAGCGGTACAACTTTTCTTTTGGGGTTCGCTCCGGTGGTTGTACATATGTACAGGCCTGGTGGGTAGGGGTTGGGGCGGCTCTACGCATCCCGCCGCGGGGGGAGTCAATGTGCCCATTCGCACTACCTGGTTCCTGCCCTTCTCACCCACACTTGCTTTGCTTGCACTGTCCGCTTCTCTTCTTGACTTGGATATTACCTGAAGCTGTTTGGCTCAGGTGCGACAGAAGAGGAGCGTGCTGGCTTGCGCGCGCGCCGAGGGGTCGTCCCCTCGTCGTCGTCGTGTCGTCGGCCGGCCGGCCTCCTCCCGTCAGGGTTGCATTTGTTGCTTGCTTAGCGGCATTATTCTTTCTTGCCCATGTCTTCTGCGAAGCCCATTGACTATGGGACATCATCGGGACATACTGCAGGGATAACGAATATCCAGGCAAAAGACTCCCAGTTCACCTGGAACGCGTGCGGCGGAGATAGAGCGCCAAGCCACCCCAGGCGGAGCCGGTCACGCCGTCCCGGGATGAACATTCCGATGATGGCGAGGCGACCGTTCGCGATCCCCGCCGCATGCACATAATCAACCATGATAGTAAGGATGGGGCAACCTCCCCAGGCTACCCTTGCATCCCTGCCCTTCGGCACTCGGCACCCCTCGGCATTCTGCTGCGCTCCGCGCGGAAAACCTCAACATGGCGTTCCAAGGCCCTTGCATCCTGACCGCGCCTCCTTATCCTGGTCGAGTGGAGGCTGCTTCTCCGCGGAGCCGCCGGGCGCCAGCCCCGTCGGGCGAAGTCGCCGCAGCCGGCAGCCCGCCCAGCACCCCGCGTTTGCCGGCGACGCACCTGCACGGCTTTGGCGTCGACCTGGGCATGCGCGCGGCCTTGGACAAGCAGTAGCGAAGCGCCCTGGCGTGCCTATAGGCCTTCCAAACAATGTTATGTGAATCTTTCGTGGTTTGCACGAAATGTTCTTAGAACATTTCCGGCTGGGATTGTTTTGTTTTAGCACATCGGGGTTTTATTCGGAGAACATTGTTTTGTTATTCGAACATTGTGGGGATTCAGGAACATGTCGTGGTAGGCCTATATGAATGCCGGGACGGTCGGTCCCTGCTCAACACAGAGCATGACCTCGACCCCCCCTTCGCGGTAAGATCACCTCCAGGCCAGCAGCCGCTTCGATCTGCTGTGAGGGAGGCCTTGCTCGTAAGTCGGGCCTGTGCCTCTACAGCAGGAAAATTCAAAAATAGTCCAGAAATCGTACGGGGACGATTTTCTTGACCATTCTTGAATCTTGCTGATTATGTTTGGAATGCTCTTCATCTTTCGCTCGAGATCCGCCTGTAGGGGGACATGCCCGACCCAAGCCTTGCCCCGAGTGGGAAGCTTCCTCATCGGCGAAGCCCGGCGTGGAGGCCTGGCCAGGGCTGCGGTTGCAGGCTGCATGCGGGCCACCTGGCGTGCCGCAGCGGCCGCTGCTGCTGCCGCCAGCCTCCGCTCGGGAGGCGGCACCCTGACCTTCCAGCATGTTTTCGAGCAGCCGGGGGAGCCCGCTCACCGCCCACCGAGCCACCCCAACCCAACCCGATTTGGCCTCCATTTCCAGTGTGGGGGGGGTCGGGGAACACTGACAACAACACATACGAAAACCCGCAGGACCCACCAGCAGCCCTCGAAAGTGGCGACATTTGCGCAGATCGCAGCCCCCCCCCCCCCAGGGACGGCGAGGTCTCGCGGGAGACAGGAGACGGGAGGCAGAAGGCGGGAGGCAGGAGGAGGAGAAGGACGCGACCGCAGTGCCCTATTCAAAACGAATACCTAACCAAGGAGGGCTGGGAAAAAACACATATGAAACCCGTACCCCTCCCCCCCACCTGAAATTCTGGCGAAATTCGGATCTTCGGGTTGGGTCGGGGTGGTCTGGTCCGGTAGTCGCCCGCGGAGCGCCCGTCCAGCGTGGCAGCAGCAGCTCGGACGCTGGGGGCGTCCCAAGCTGCCGCCACGAGGCCCCGGCGCCCTCGCTGGGAGGCGCGAGCTGAGATCAAGCCGGGAGTGGCCCTCCTCTCGAGGCCGCCTTCGCTCGCGCGGCATGCAGGGCCTTTCGGCCAAGCGTGAAGTCGGGCCTGTCACTCTACAGAAGGAATTTTCCACAACAGTCCAGAGATGCTCTTGGGACGATTGCTTTACCATCTTTGACTATGTTTGAGCATTTGTGGTGTACTCTTTACTTTTCGTCCAAAATCCGCCTGTAGGAGAATACGCCCGACCTGAGCCAAGCGGGACGGGGAGGCGGCTCCGCGCTCACACTCAAAATGGTTCACCCTGCTCGCACTCGAGCCGAGACCACGTCTTCGAGGCAGCAGTCGGGGGGGATGTTACGCAACATACTTCGGGGCGGTGGCGTCGTTCCCAAGGTGTTTGCATGGTTGTGGCTTCCGGGGCCGCACAAGAGGCCCCAAACATTAAATCCCAACGGGCCATGCGGCCATCTGGAAAGTCCCAGAGATCCCCAACACGGCCCGAAGAGAGCCACACGATGGCCTCGGATGGCCCCAAGACGACCCCCCAAAGCATAAGGTGGTCCTAAGAAGCCCCCAGAGCT